TCCAATTACTAATTAAATATTTTTTGTGTTATTTAGGATACGTGTTGTTTTTGAATGCTGATTATTAATGTTTATTTTATTATTAAAMAAATTATTATTATTAATTATATACTTATATTAAGGTATGTTTTTTAAACAAAAAAAATATTGTTATTAAAATTTGCATGTTTTATAATAATGTTTATTATAAAAAAAAATGATATCAATGCTGAAATTTATTATTATTAAAATTAAAATGTTTTTTATGTGTGCTAAATATTTCATAAAATTACTGTAAAAAATATTTATAATTATAATAATATTAAATATCATATTTTCAACTATTATTATTTATTTAACATAAATATTAATATTAAAACACCTAAACWAAACAATTAGCATGATAAGTTTATATATAAAAATATATATATAAATATATATATAATTATAGTTARAAAAAACTAAATAACTATTTTWTATAATTTTCAAAATWAACTCACTAGATGTTACTACTAGAGGTACAAGGTCAATTTTTGTTGAGTATAATTTTTGTACGCATATACAGTACTAAATATTTAAAAATAAAAATTTTCAAAATACTATTGTTTATACAGTATATACTGTATTTGTTATACAGTTTTTATTTAAAAATAATTGTCCTAAAAATTAAAATAAACTAAACTAATTGTTTAGCCATGGGTTAGCATTGTTAGTGACTGATTCAATAGCAACTGATTACTATTTACCCCGGTGCTAATATARTTTAGTTTTATTTATTTTTTAAATTAATAATAAATGTGATAATTGTTATCAATTTTATAATAAATTCATTTATTTATATTTATTTATATGTAATCACCAATTTAATTTTTTTAAAAAAATCAACTGTGATATAATTAATAAAATAGTTTATATTAAAAAAATAGTTGTTTGTTTGTTGTCATCAAAAAAATAATTAATTGCAATAATTTTTTTCCAACAAAAAAATTATTATTGTTATTTGTATATCAATGGTATGATAATATTTTTTTTAATATAATAAACTTTAATTAAATTTATACTAGCTAAATTTTATTTTTGTTAAATGGTCAATCGGTACCACCGGTAGATGATTATGTTTGTGTTATGAGGACAGTTATGAGCACCTGTAGTGTGTGTGTGTGTGTATCGGCCGGTAATTAAGATACCGAAACRCATTTAGTTGTAAATGCAATAATATTATTAATATACAGTAATGTAGTAATACTATTAATAATAATAATAATAATAATAAGTAATTTTATATTAGCAAAATTATTTAAGATAATAAAACGTTTAGTTTATATATAAATTTTTAATATATTTATGCAATTTTTTTAAATAATTTAAATCAAAAAAAAAACAAAAATCAAAAACTATAATATGTTTCAATTATAAGTATAAAGTAGTACTAATACAGTGTATATCTATTTATAACTATTTACACAAAAAAAAACATGCAAATTATATATATATATATTTACTGGTATTATTAGGGTTCGCTAAACAAAAATACCTACCTCATTTTATTAACCAAAAAAATATAGTTGTTTATGTTCCCCAAGTTTCCCTTAGAGGAAATTTCTAGAGTAACATTAGTTCGTTTTTTTCCGTGAAAATTGGAGCAAAAATTTTATTTTTAAGGGAACTTTCCATCCCTTGATGGGGATGAAAGAGTTGTGCATAAACTCTATAAACTGGTTATTAATATAGTTATGGTCCATAACTTATGGATATTAATGTTCTCCATTCTAGGAGTTAAGCTATATAAATATTTAAGTAAACAAATACACATGTGATAGTAAGTATTAATACAAGTAAACATAAGATTAAAATACCTTAGGATTAAAATAACTAAAGTATTTTAAACACAAAATATTAATATAAAAATAATCAAATGTACAAAATTATAAACAGTTGTTTACAAGTCGTTGAGTTATCTTGTATTATAATTTTTATTAAATTGTTTTCAAAAATTAGATATATTTATTCAGTTTTTAATAAAAAAATTGTTAATAATAATTACAATAATAATAATAATTATTATTATAATTGTAATAATAATAATTGAATATTTATTTATTGAACACTTCTGTAAAATTGTATTAAATTAATGTTTATTTAAAAATATTAATTAAAGCAAACAAACAAAAAATAATTTTAAAATCAACTATTGATTACCAAATCAAGTGTTTTATTAACAATTGGAAACTCTGTATGATTTTGTGCTGCAAATAATAGATCACATTTGATGCGAGAATACTAAAAAAAATTATTATAATAATTGTAATACTAATAATAGTTATAATAATAATAATTGTGATATACAAAGATAATAATAATAATATATAAATAATTATATATTTTAAAATTTTATTAATTGATAAAAACAAAGTGATTTGACTATATAAATAAGTTTATTTATTGTTAATTAAAATAAAATGGCTTTTAATAATAATCAATTTTTGAATTTTATTAATAAAAACAGTAATTCAACAAATGTTAGCAACAACTCATTGGATAAACAATCAGAGTTAATGATGAATATAGTGAAAAGTGACCACAATTTTTCTATAATAAGAGGAAAATTGAGATGTGAAGTGTGTTCACAAAACTTTGAACATTTTGACATACAACATGGATGGTCAAATGTTGAACAACATAAAAACACACAAAAACATAAAAGTAATTGTGAAACCAACAAAAACAAACGCAAATCAACAGAGGATTTAAATAAAATTGATTTGAAAGATAAAAAAACATTTGTTATCAACTTAGTATTGGCACTAATGTCAGCAAACATACCATTGTATAAACTGGAGAACAAGGAGTTCAAGAAATTTCTATATGATTACACTGGATTTGACATCCCAAGCCAATCAACACTTACTAGAACTGTTGATACAGTATATAACGATACACTAAAATTTATTAAAACTGAATTATCGATAAATAAAATTTATGTAATGCTTGATGAGACTGTAGATTGTCTACAGAGAACAATTATTAACGTGTTGGTAGGAGTGCTCAATGGTAAGCAACAAAAACCTGTACTTATTTCAACACAAATTTTAAATGACAAAACAAGTGATGGCATACTTAACGCAATGGAAACAGCGCTTAATAAATTGTATAATAATAATATTAATTATGATGACATTGTATTATGTGTTACAGATCAGGCAAGTCCAATGATTAAAGCAATGCAAAAAGCTAAAAAAATTTACAAAACTTAATCATATGACATGTTTAGCACACGCTTTGCATAGAGTGTGTGACAAAATTCGAGAAAAAAATAGTTTAGCAGAAACATTTTTAAATAAAATAAACAGTTATTTAAAAAATTCAAGTAAAAATAGACATGATTTTTTATTAAATTGTGTTGATAAATTGCCAAAAAAGCCAATTATAACCCGTTGGGGAACATTTATTAATTGCACTATATATTATGTAGATAATTTTGAAAAAATACATATATATTGTCATTAAATTCATCAAAAAAATTAATTATTGAACTTAAACAACTTGTTATGAATAATCAATTATTAGAAGTGTGTGTGTGTGTGTGGATTACGTGTGGATCAACAAATTAATGTTATAAAAGATGTTTTATTAAAGCTTAAAAATAATGAAACATATTTGAAAAAATTAGTGACTTCATTAGAAAAAAATCCAGCATACGAATTTTATTGTAAACCTATTTCTCATGATTTATTATATTCACCCCTTACTAGTGTTGATGTTGAAAGATCCTTTTCTATGCTTAAAAACATTGTTACCCCTAAAAGAAATCGTTTTACTGAAGAACATGTTCAACAGCATAGTTGTGTTAATTATTTTTATAATTATTTTTTAAAATAAACTAAATTGTATTTTTATCATTTTGTACACATATTTTTTTTGTATATGTATATAATAAATTTTTGTATTTATGTTTAACTTTCCTGGATTGGAGAACATTAATGGATATATACTTGTAGGTGGGTGTGTGTGTGTGTGTGTGTGTGTGCTGTCACTAATAGTAACTAACTAACTATGAAATGATGCACTATATATAAATTTATTGACAAATAAACAGTCATGTATTAACATAAATTTTAATTTTAATACATTGTATATATATATACAAATGTAAATTTTTTTGATGATATTTTATACTCTAATAAAAATTATAAATATGTATATTAATATATATTGCATAATGTGCGCATATACATTTTTTAAACAAAAATTAAATAAATATATATATATTGTTACCAGTGGTTAGTGATGATGATGACCAGTAATAATATATAGCTGTATATTATATGATTGGCATTTATTATTAAACTATTATTTATATAGAAATAAAGTTAATATACTATTTTTATATTTGCTTGAAAAACAATTTTTTTTAATAAACTATTTAACAAACATATATGTGTGATTAGTTATATAATTATAAATGTTTAAGAAAAATTAATTTAAACTATTTAGTACTAAAAATTCATAAGTACTATAGTTAGTATTTAAAACTAATAAATGTGTGATAATCATCTGGCATTTATTTATATATAATATATAATATATATTTATCATTTTATGTAATCAACCGTAAAAGTGTCCAATCAATTGGGATTTTTGTTGTCATTATAAAATTTTTTAAAAAAACTAATATAATTTTTTTTATATTATTTTTTTTTTGATGTTAACTGTGTTTGTTTTATGTTGTTATTATTAGTTTTTTTAAAAAAAAAACACCTAAAGTTTATTGAATTTATATACCCTTAGTGAGCTTAAAAGCTTAATTTTTTTTTAAAAAAATAGCCTTTAAAAAATTTATCATGCTCAAATAAACTATTACTAATTAAAAATTTTTATTACTCATTCAAATTTATGATTTTATATGTATTTTATATACAGTTGTATATATTTTTATACAATATATGTCCCAACAAACTGTAGACACCAACAACAAAAAATCATTGTCCTAAATGTGATGATACAGTAATATTATATAAATCATATATGTATTAAAAAAAATAAATAGTCGACAACAATGGTATAGTAATGATATCATATGATATAAAAAAAAATAATTAATATATATTTGTTTTAATTTTACTATAAATTTACTTTAATTTTTTTTTTAAACAAAATTATTGATTTAATATCTTATATGATATAGTATTGTATATTTTTATCTATATATATATATTTTCAAATAGATAGGTGACAAAATTAACAAATATCTAAAGCACCTGTACCACTATACCGATCAAACAGGTGCCGCCGAAATCCTACGGTGCGGTTATCTACGTCCGAGTCCGCGAACCAATTTGTTTGACGAGGGTATCTATTTGACTGGTTTGGCTCCTAATCTGTATACGCGTCAGGAAATCCTATACAACAACTACGGTTCCCAATGGTATGACTATGACGGACGGGCCGACTATGTGGTAGTAATCAATTGGGACGATCTGGACCCGTGGCTTCTGCGCCGGTGCCGGCTTGCGGTCCGCAGTCGTAATTTTCTATGCTATCGACACGTTAGGGTCAGGGTTGACAACAAACAGGTCATACGGTACGAGGATTATACTGTTGATGGTTGTAATGGAGATATTGGTGATAATGGAGGTACTGGAGGTACGGGAGATACTGGAGGTACGGGAGGAACTGGAGGTACGGGAAGTACTGGAAGTACTGGTGGATCTGGAGCTGCTGGAGGTACTGGAGGTAGTGGTCAAACTGTTTGTCCGGAAATAATAACTATAATAGACTAATAATAATAACTAAATTTTTTGTATAATAAAAAAAATTTGCTATAAATTATATTGAAAAATGTTAATTAAATATATATATATATTATATACAGTATATATATTATATAATTTTTTTTGTTGAAAAAAATATTAAACATTTTATACATATATATATATGTTTTTACAAACAAAAAGAATATTGTAATATTATAGTAATTTTTTTTAATAATAATTTTATTTTATTATTATCATACAGTTGAGACAACAACAAAAAAATCATAATTTTTATATTAATATTAATAATAAGTTTATAGCATGTGTGCAATTTTATTTATATTATTATTTAAAATAAAAAGATTATTACTATATTGACTATAATTTAAACAATAAATAAATAAATAATAAAATGTTATTACAGTACTGTACTGTATATATATTTAACTGTATTCAAACATATTATAAAACTATTAGACATTTTAATTGCATTGTTTTGTCTGGAAATTTATATATATTTTAAATACAATATACATATTTATTATGTTTTAGACAACTCTACACTAAAATWAAAGCAAAACAAATAATAATAAAATTGTTATTAAATTATTTGATTGATAATCTCTCTCTCTCTCTCTCTCTCTCTCTCTCTCTCTCTCTCTCTYTCTCTCTCTCTCTCTCTCTCTCTCTCTCTCTCTCTTTCTTTCTTTCTCTCAGTCACTTAGTTTTTATGTTATTATATAAAAAAATTAAATAAAATTTTTTAATATTAAGTAATTGAAAATTTTTTAAAAACTATTTACAACAATTTATTATTAACAATAATTTATTTTATTTTTTTTTAAATAATAATAACTAACTTTATATAAAATATTGGTTAACTTTGTRTTCGTAGTCAATGTTTAGTTTTATTTTAATATCAATTATTTAGTTAAATAATTTATTAATAATTAACTACTGTAACACTTATTTTTTTTAAATAAATATTTATTAGTCTATTTACAAATTTTTTACTAATATTATTATTAATATAACTTATATTAGAATTTTATTAAAAGTTTTTATTTGAAAAATAAAATAAAATACATATTTTATTGTATATTATTTGCACATATTATTTGATGTTACATACAAACAATTAACTCAAATAACAGACAATTGTTTTGTTTGTTATTTTTGTTATACTAGACTCTAGTATAACAAATAACAAACAAACAAACAAAAATCAATTTTTAATTATTACAAATGTATATTTAAAAAAATCAATATAGTTAATAAATACCCGTAATATATTAATAGTACAGTAAAAGTTAGACACAGTAAACAACACACAGGTATGTATCAGTTTTTTTTTGTGGACAGTTGTTTTTATTTAATATAATTAATAACATACTAGACTATTAATCTGATGACACATTTAATTGTTCAATATATATATATATAACTGTTATTTATTATTATTTTTCTTAAAAATATTATTATAATATATCATATAATATAATATTATGTTTATAATTTTATTCACTATATAATTAAATATATATATATATATATAATTCACCAGTAGTGTACAATAATAGTAATAATATTAAATTTCAATGATGATGATGATAATAAAAAATAATTATGAATATTAAAAAAGTATGTAAAGTACAGGTAAATATACCGATATCTATTATATATATATATATACTGTATATACATTATTTAAAAGCAATTACCTATTAATTATAAAAAAATATGTAAAAATAATAATGATTTTTAATAATAATCATACATATATATCATATAATTATTATGTGTTTATTTACATTTTAAAATTAAATAATACTTATACAGTAATATTTTATAAAATTTTTTGTAACATATATTTTTTTAAATTTGTAGTTTATGGTAATAATAATTGTATAATAATAATATTATTTATAGTTTGATTGTATTTTATGTAATATTATTAAACATGTAATGTTTTTTTTAAAAAAAAATTAAAATAACTATTAATTGTCTAAATAAATATTTTAATTTTTACAATAAACTAACTGATTGTATAAATATATTTTGAATGTCAATATTATTATTATTTTTTTGTCTGTTAATTAAATAATAAAAGTAATTATAATATTAATAATGTTGCTGAGATTTTAATTGCATAATAAATTATATATATATATATAGAAATAATATAATTATGTTTAATTTTTTTTTGTAATCTATATATTTACATAAGTCACAAAAAAATTGTTTATATTATTGTAGTTGATTAATAACATTAGTGATGATGACTAATAATTTTGTAATTTTTTTGTTTAATGTTTTTTTGTGAATATTTTTTTCAATTGCTTTTCAATTTCCCGTCAAAATCAGATTAAATAAAACTCAAATTACAGATATTTTATAATCATATTCAATATTACAGTATATATATATATATATATATATATATATATCAATATCTAGAATATTCTCTATTAATTTATAACATAAAACTAATTACACGTATAATTAGACACTTTATGTTTATATAGTGTAATACATGTACAGTTATATATCGAGTATTCAAATATATATAAATTGAATAAATTATTGAAATAAATTTTCATAATGTGATAATCACTTAAGTTAAGTGATTTTATTTAATTTTATTTTTTGAATTAATATATTTTGAAGTTTAAAGTAAATATTTCTAAATACAATTATTACTTATAATAATAATATTAATGGTAATATCATAATTAATGTTAATTTTCCAAATTTAATATTATTATTATTATTTTAAAATTATTTAATATATATATATTTTCTAACACATCATCATATATTTAGTCTGACCTACTCTATCACTATACCGACTCTGCCGGTGCTGAGGCTATCCGACAGTCCGGTTATATCCGACGAAGTCAAGCGTATACATCGTATGGCGTACTTTTTGTGGCCGGTGTCTACCTGACCGATAAGTCACCCGTAAACTATACCCGGGAGGAGATCCTGCAAAACAATTACAGTTCAATAATGGCCAGTTATCCGGGTCATGCCGACTATGTAGTGGTAGTCAATAGGTCATTGTTGGACAGGGATCTGTTCAAAACATACTCGTTCTCCAGTCGTACATTTATCTGCTATCAGTCCGATAGGATAGATGTCGAGGACAGTCAGATAATGAAATTTGATGATTTTCATTAGGTATTATTATTAACTATACTGTTAATTAATTAATTAATTCAATTGTTGTTTTACTGTATTTTTAATTAGTAAGAAATATATAAATATTTTTTATTTTCATAAAAAATCTATTCTTTAAAAATATATTATATTTTAAGATTTTTTGTTTTGTTTTAATGTAATGTAAAAAATATTATAAATATATTATATCTATATATATATATTATATATTATTGACAAAAAAAATTAATTAATCCAAACATTATTGTTACTGTAATTATATTTAGTAATATGTAGTATATTTATATATTTTTTAATTTCTAATAAAAATATATTCTTTAAAAATATATTATATTTTAAGATTTTTTGTTTTAATGTAATGTAAAAAATGTGATAAATATTATATTTATATATATATATATTATTGACAAAACTGTAAATCCATTAAAATCTTATTGTAATTGGATAGACATTTGATATTTATCGTTGAAATATTTATATTTTATATTTTATTTTATTTGCAAACACTAGTTTCAAAGTTTTGAAATTCAAACTCAAACCTTTAAAATAAAATAAAAAATTATTTTATCATATTATACCTTTTAATGTGCGACAAATAATAAGTCAAATCACATTTTCATAGTTATAATTGTGTATTATTTGTGATCAATATTTTATTTTTAAAAAATATATATATTAATACCATAAATTTTTAAAAAAAATAGTTTTTAATTAATTAAATTAATACTTATTATTATTATTGATATAATTAATGGTATCGTATTCAGTATACAGTATATATTATTTAGTAATAATCATAAAAATCATATGAATATATCATATATTAATACCGTATTTATATAAATATTTATGTAATCCTAGGCTAATAATAATAACGGTCAGTCACTACTGTATCACTATACTGATGAGGCCGGTGCCATAGCCATCATACTATCTGGCTATATACAGGCCAGTCAGGCCTATGATCACTACGAGGCCGGCGTCTATTTGACACCGTTGGCCCCGACAGGACGAAAACGCCAGGATATTTTGCGCAACAATTACGGACCCAATTATGGACGCTATTTTCGCGATCGGGCCGATTATGTAGTGGCAGTGGACAGGGCCCTACTGGACAACCTATTGATACGCGAGCGCAATATGTACGGTGGCCGCAAAATGGTTTGCTATGCGGGCGACCGGATCAACATCGGTAACAGCAAAGTGGTTGCCTTCGGGGACTTTTAGGACTCAATCGTAACGACTATTAATTAATTAATTTCATTGATTGATTGATACAAACGAAAAATAATATTAATTAATAGACAAAAATATGTAACGATTATTATAATTAATATATTATTATTATGATAAATTTTTTTTATACATTTATTACAATGTTTATAATCACATGAATAAAAAAATAATTAATGACTAAATTTTTGTTGTTATTTTTTGTTTGTTTGTTTGTTGAATAAAACATCAATTTTTATGAAATTAAAAATTTTAAAAAAATATTCGTTAAAAATTTAAATTTACAAACAATTTTTTTAAAAAATCAATGATTATATTACAAATAATTTTTAAAAATCAATAATTATATTTAAAACAATTAAAAAAATCAATCAGGTGATTAGCACCTGTATCTATAGTAGCGACAATGACATTGTGTCAAACTGGTCGACCAGTAGACCCATTGATCGATAGGTACGGTAGTCATCGAAACGCATGACCTGATAGTCACGTACCGGTACTGTCGGTTGCCGATAGCAGACAAACGATCGGTCATGTTTTCGTAGATAATAATCGCGGCGTAAATCGCTGTTCAGGTCGGCCCTGTCCACAACAACCACGTAATCGACACGTGTGTAAAATCTGAGACATACCGGTCCGTAGTTGTTGATCAGTATCAGAGCGCGCGAGTAATCAATCGGCGATTTAGTGGTAAAATAGACGCCCGACTCAAACTGGCCAAATGCCCGACTCTGACGTATATAACCGCACTGTTTGATGGCATAGGCACCCAATGCATCCGTATAGTGAAACAAATGGTCGGACTAAATGGTGATTAAAAAAACAATAAAATATAGTATAATAATCGTTAAATTAGTTTTTTTTAAATATTTTTAAAAAAATATTTTTCTAAAAATCTTTTATAATAATCACACAATTATATTGTGTGATCAAATCAAACAAAATCCTATTTAATACCATTATTGCTAATCCCCCTATAAAATCCTAATTGAAAAAACAATTATTTAATTATTTTCTGGCTAACTTTGCTCAAAAATAATTAATAATAAATATAATTTATTAAATCAAATGATATAATAATTTTTTTTAGACAATTGACGCCAAATGTCTAATAATAATATTTCTATTATATGCAAAAAAAAATTTTTAAATTTTTTTTAATATATAAAGCAATCATTAATGTAAATGTAAAGTAATTAACATTTTTTATTTTGGTATTACATTTTGGCGATGAAATCATAATTCAATTGATTACACACTAAATGATTATTTGGTTTTCAAAAATTATTWAAATAAAAAAATTAATATTTTTAAAAATTTATTGAAATTYATATATTACTTTAATGTTATATTTTGATGATTTTTGCACAATATAAAAATGTTTAATAAATAATTTGTAAATAAAATAAAATAATATCATATTTTCAATATTATTAATATTTAATTATTTAAATATTATCTTATTATTATTATTATGTATTGTATATATTGTAAATGTTTTATGTCAACTACTATTTATAATTTTTCAATTAACTTTCTATATTATAATTAATATAATATTGAATAAATAAAATATCAAAATATAATAATTTATTTTTGTGTTTTATAAATCGATCTATTGATATATTATATAATAAATTATAATTATTCTAAATCATTGCTACAGTAATTATCATAATTTAAATATTTATGATTTTTTATTTTCTCTACTAAATTTCAAGTAGATTTAAATTTTAAAATAAATATTGAGATAAATATTTTATTAGACTTTATTAGACTTTAGATTATCAAAAAAATATGTAAAACATTTTGATTAATAAATTTAAACAATTAAAAAAAATAAATTCAAATAAATAATTATGGTACTTGAAATTAACAAATAATTTTTATATATATTAATAATGTTGGGTTATAATTATAATAAACTAGATAACAAATCTAATTAAAATAAAAAATGTTTTTAACAATAAAATTTGAAAATAATTAACATTATATACATTTATTAAAAACTAATTAAATCAAAAATTTATTATATAAAAGTCATTTAATTATTGTGATTATAAAATGATAAAAATAAATAAATATTATATTAAATATTAGTAGCTTTCAATACTGTATTATACTGTATATTAACCAACCAAATAAAAAACTAAGTTAACAAACACTAGGTATTATCAAACTACTAGTGCATCAGTACAATAGACCTACAATATCGACAGTGACATAGTATCTAATTGATCGGCCAATAGATCAAGTGATCGATAGGTAAGRTAGTCATCRAATCGCATGACCTGATAGTCCCGTACCGRGACTGTCGGTTGCCGRTAGCATACAAACGAACGGCCATATTTCCATAGATTATAATCGCGGCGCAAATAGGTGTTCAGGTCGGCCCTGTCCACTACAACAACATAGTCGGCACGTGTAGTATACCTGAGCAATGCCGGGCCGTAGTTGTTCATCAGTATCTGAGTGCGSGTGTAACTAATGGGCGATTTAGTKGTAAAATAGACGCCCGATTCAAACTGKCCRAATGCCCGACTCTGGCGTATATAACCGCACCGTTTGATTGATTCGGCACCCGATGCGCTCGTATAGTGAAATAAATGGTCGCCGGACTAAATGGTGATTAAAATATATATATAAATACTTTTAAAAAAATAATTTGAAATTAGACTCAATTTACAAAAAATACTRTAAAAATAATTACATAATTATTAGTTATAAATTAAATTTTTTTTTAAAACAAAACAAATATTAATACCATTATATAGAAAATCCAAAATCAAATTAAGATTATTATTATATTAAAATAATTTATTTAATATTTTTTTAAAAAGACCTTTAATGATAATAACCAGAATTTTTTATTGAAAAAATAAGATAAAATAATTTTTATTTAAAATATATATAATAGTTATTGATAATTATTATCTATTTGTTGTTCATTGTATTATTATATTTTAAATACTAACAGTAATACTATTTTTTAATAAAATGATTTTTCTATAATTATAAATATTTAATATATTAAACTTCATATTACAGCTGTATAAAAATTAAGTATTTATAATATTATACATTCATATTATTTTAAACTTATATAAATAAAATTTTTAAAATATATATATACTGTATATACGTATATACATACTTATATTTAGCTTATTATACAATCCTATGGTAATATTAGTATATCGGAAACAATTACAAAAGTAAACCATTAGTTTAATATAACCAACARCAAAAAATTATGCAATACATTAGTTATATAATATAATATAATCATACATTTACTAAATATTTTTTATAAAATATAAACAATAATAAAATACAAATTAATATAATAATTATTAATATACAGTATAAAAATTTATTAGTTAAAATAACTAAATTAATTGAATCTAGAAAATTGTGATTATTAAATTATTTTATCAATATTGTTTTTATAAATAATTAAAAATACTAATTTCTATGATTATGTAATGTAATATATATATACAAATAAAAATTATATTTAAATTTTTTTTATAAAATAAATTTATAGCAAAATAACTCATATTAATTGGATAACATTGCAAAAATCTAGTACTTACTACGTAATACTAGYAATATATATTTAATTTATTAAGATTATATTTTATTATATGTATATAAAGTTATATATATATATATATATATATACAGTATAATATTGTGTATTATATTGTAAATATATATATATATAAATATAATATAGTAACTAACAAGACTACTAAAACAATTTATATATATATATATGAAAAACTATRWATTTATGTAAACAATTATATCATCAATGATAACGTTTTKTGATTTAAATATTATGCAACTCAGATAACTCATAATAACTCTTTAATATTGATTTTATTAAATAATATTTTCAATATAACAATAATAATAATAATAATAAATAKTTTATAATTTACATCATTGCATTAAATTACTTATGCATATCAAATGTAATTATTATATTTCAATTATATATATATATATATTATATACAGTATTAATGGATTACATTAACAGACTATAATTATAAGCCATTGCTTTATTTGTAATATTATATAATTTTTTTTGCTATTCAATAAACATTATTATATAAAGTTAAAAATTTACAATAGTTGCTATATGTCATAATATTAATTTTAATATTTTTTTTATCATATATCTATACAGTATAATATTGGTAAATAAAATTAATGGTAAGTTATTTTTTAATACTATTATTATTATTAATAATACTATTTTTGTGTTATAAAAACAAAATAATTTATCAAAAATTAATTATGAATATATATATACTGTACATATAAATCCTATTTTTAAAAAATATTACWAAACTAATAAAACAATAAGGGTGACCAACTGTATCACTATACCGATAGCAAGGGTGCACTGGGTATACGCCAGTGCGGTTATATACGTGCGTCGGCAGCATTCAGGCCACTGAATGGACCCGTGTTCGAGACTGGGGTCTATTTTACCGAAATGTCGCCCAATCGATACAGTCGTGAGGATATTGTTTTCAACAATTACGGGCCGATTAGGAATGAGTATAAAAATCGGGCCGACTATGTAGTGGTGGTCGAACGGGTACAGTTGGATACCAGTCTATTCAAACACTATTTGCTAGGCAATGGTCGYAATTTTGTCTGCTATCGTACCACCGATAGGCTTCCAGTACAGGACAGTCAGATCGTTCAGACCAGTAGTTTTGGTGGTCCCACAAAACCTGTTACATCAATATCTCATTATGTATTTTTATACAGTGACACTGATAACTATAGTGACAGTGATAGTGATAGCGATTAGTTATATTAATAGTTTTATTATTATTAATTTTTTAAATAATTTTTTTATTATTAATCAAATTTCTATTTTCTAATATTAAATGTAATATAAAGAATAGTTTTTTAAAATAATTTAATTTTAATGTTTTAAAAAAAAAWTAATATACAGTTTAACAAATTAATTATGATATTATTGATATTTAATTATTAAGATTACGGTATATATTGAATTAATTAAAAATGTTTAATAATTTTATTTGAAAATAAATAATCAAATTACTTAGTAATTATACAAAAATAAAATAAAATTTAATAGTATTAGCAATAGTAATAGCAAGTAGTATAAAATTTAATTTATCAAAACTTTTTTAATTTGTGTTACATTTTTAATTTAATTTATATATTTTTATTAATATTATATTAATTTATCTGTATATTATTATTTTTTATTATAAATAATTWATTAATATTTTATATTATTTTTTTYTTGAAACTTTAAATAAAAGCTAAATTATTTACACAATTATATTAATCACATTAGAAATATTATACAAAATATATAATTAGTTTTAATTAATTTTAATAATTATTTAATAAACTATTTTCCATTGAGACTCCTGTTTGCATAATAYCATAGACGACGACGACTTGTCSACACATTGACTGCACAGTCGGTTAAATGTAGTATTGRGCCAAAACCCGAGTATCTCCCGTTCCTCTTGTATGCGAAACGAAAAAGTTGACTCATAGGTACCGATAAATAGGCGGCCGTGTGCTGCTATCCACTGGTCAATAACGGCCAGCTGGCCGTCGCTGAGTACGGGCTGATCACGCCGTCTGATCACGGCAGTAAACCGCAGCACTCGGACGTCATGGCCGAGCAAAATGCTCCGTAGGTCTGACCACTCGCYGGCCGGTGCATCGGTGGCCACAAACACTGTCCGACTATCTATACGGTACTCCYGTAGTGCCCATTCTATCTGTTTGGCCGCACATTGAACGTCGGGTATGTCTTGACTACGATATCGGGCAAAGTCTCGCCGACGCCAGTGAACCGATAGGTAATTACCGCCGATTGCCTGACCGGCCGTTCGCCGCATCGTTTGCCAGTTACTGTCCAACAGTGTCTTATCRTTGACATCGTCCGACTGGAGTGATTCGCGACGAAACTGGTCGGCTATCTCTACGAGTTGTCCACTGAATCTCATACTTCGTCTAACTGTCCAATAGATAACTGTTCCGAAGTCGTCGTTGAGTACAGTTTCGGCGCGCGATATATATATCACCGAATTGTCCGCAAATTGCTTTTCRTTGTCTATAATCTGCTTCAATGTCGACACATAGCCATCAATCCTAAGACACACCAACCGTTTGATGGTTAACCCGTCCGTTGCTGTTCCACCGTATTTGCTAACTACCCGTCCATCGCTGACTTTRCGAAAATGTTTGCWATCCATACACTCCTTCAAGTCGTACCTTTCGTGCCATTGATTGATRTTATTGCCGTCAAACGTGTCCTCGTAGTGATCCAAACACAACACGACGTCCACTATAGCATCCCTGTGCTCATCGTCACCAACACTACTACTACTACCGGCGCTCAGTTGACTCTCGGATAGAAAGTCCGAGTAYTCGATGACCGGTACAAATCGGTTCATACTTTGCACATCAAAATAGGTTTGCCATTGTCTATGGTGTGGTGACTGCCGATCGGCGTCGGCGGCCGCCGATGTCCAGTGAGGTATATGACTCCACTCGGGCAAAACCAGTGTCCAGTCGGGACCCAAACGATGGACCAACAGTGCCATACGTATGTAGACATCGCGTCTCAGATTAAAGCCTTCGCCAAAATTCTGGTCATAGAGTAGATACCGTCGTCGGCGACGACTACGATGGCCACTGCCTACGTATATATCGGCAGCCGATGATGACCTGTGACCTSCGACGCYATCGCACACTGGCTGGTCAAYTGAACCGCAAWAYTGGTGGTCATCGTTGCCGGYGATRACTGATATAAATATGRATATAATTAATGTGATTATTATTACTACTATTAATGTTATTGTTGTTGTCATTGTTGATGATAACAGTGATTATAATTGTTGCGATAATTATTAATTTTAATTAGTGAATTTTTTTCTATTTTTTTWAAAAATAAATTAACTTGCTAAATTTATMAATTATTATTATTATTATTTAGAATATATTTTCGTAGTTTTTTCATTTTTATTTAAATTTAAAGTAAAATTATTTATTATTTTTTTAATGTAAACTATAAAAAGTTTTACATTATGTTAATTAAAACATTTTTTTTCTAAAAAAAATAATATAAAATTRATAWATTGTTTTTAAAAAAWATATATTTATATATTTAATTAGTAAAATTTAATCAATTTAGTAAAAATTAAAATTAAAAATTTATGTACACTTTCCGCTAGTTAAACATGTTAATTGAACCAAAAATACAAAAAATATATATATATATATATAAATTATACCCAAGATTACGGGTAATATTAAAATTTTTTTACACACAAAAAAATTACTAAAATTTTAAAAATTAAAAACATAAATAACAAGTTTGTTTACACATCACATCAATAATTTTCAACCAAAAAATAACGTAATTATTGGACTAAAAAGTTTTTTATCACTAGTTTTTACTGTATATTTTTGGAGACATTTTTTYTCWCTACAATACTATTASTATTACAACAATAATATTGTAAAACATTTTGTTTTAATTGTAATAATAAAACACAAATAAATTGATAGCCATTTGACTAACAAGTGTCGGGTATTTAAGACCGTAAGATAACCGGGTATTCAAACATATTATTTAAGTGGACAACAATAATCATAATAATAATGGCCATGTTTTGTGCAAAAATGGACAAACACCAATTTAGCCGATTGGTCCCGGCTATGGTAAGTGTGTGTGTGTGTGACCTCTAAATAGCGGGTTGGCCTCAACCACCCGAAATGGTCACCAATTGAATGGCCACCACATATGTCTCTCTAATCTCTCTCTCTCCCGTCTGCCCGCAGAATATGATGGCCACCCGTCTACTGTCGGCCGGTGCCGCCCATCCGGACCCGAATCCGCACGGCTGGAAATCGTGGCGCGACATACCCGATTCGATGATACCGACCACCAGCAAACGTGACCCCAACAATCCGATATACGGTACCCGCAAGTATGTGGACTATCGTAAACAGTGCATCTGGTATCAGGTATGGGGTATATTACGGTAGATCATAGATATCATATCATATATGATATGATATTCAGCTCAGGTACCTATTTTTTCCACCCACTATCCAYTAAATACAACCCCCACCCACYCRSCTATTTAATATTATTTATTAACTATGTCTATAATGGGCTCAGGTACCCATAAATAAAATACATGTATATAAACCGATGATTCATATGTACTGTACTTAGTTATCTATCACCCCTCCCTTCCCCTRCACCCACCCAATCATCTACCCTCCCCTATATTTTCTAACTACTAAAATCGTTACTTATTATTTATTATMACTTTAACTAATGTTGTTGTTGTTAACCCCCTCCCTCTCTATCTATCTACCTAGATCAACAACGGCGTACCCGTCTATTTGAAGGCCGGTACCACCGACTATGCACTCTACTACCTGGCCTGGGCTGGCATAACAGTGATGCTATTGGTTAACAGCTATATTATTGGCGATATGATGTTCGGAAAGCCTAAAAAGGATGCCAAATAAAATAACTGGGCTATCGATGCGAATCACCCCCTTTATCTATTATTAAAAACTTAACATTTAAAAAACAATATGAATATTATTTAGTCTATTATTATTATTATTGTTGTTTTATTATTATTATTATTAGTATTATAGTGATTGCAACACAAAAAAAATTGATTTTTAATTCAAAGATAATCTATTATTAAAAAGTCAAAAACAAAATTACCTTAAAATGTATAAATTTTTTTTAATTAACATTTAATTTGTTTAGTAATAGTACCAGTACCAATWGGTAGTAGTAGTAGTATATGGTAATAATGATGATGATAATAATAATAATAATATTACTGTTATATTATAATATATAATTTTTTGTTAGCAAATTGTAAACAATTATTTAAATTGAATTGAATTGAAAAATAAATAAATTTAATTATATATATATATAGACTAGTATTTAATAACAATAATAATTAATTAGTATAAATAATTTTTTAAACTAGCAACTTTTTTTAAAAAAAATAATAATACCGTATTAAGCTAACTGTTCAATAGGAGGCGCCCATTATCCTGCAACAATTTTATACATGCTCAATTATTTATTTATTGTACAGTATTTTCTGTACAGTATGAAACAGTCATAAAATTAGTGACAACACAACAATAAGTAAAGTGCCCACACATACACACACACACACACATTTATGACCCAACTTTCCCACCAAAAAATTTTATATATAGACTGTAGAGTAATAAACGGCTAATACCTAACTAAACTAACTAACTAGTAAGTAACCATGGTCACCCCTTAAAGCTTATATTATGTGGAAAAAACCTTTATGTCAACCCTATGCATATATATATACCGTTTTCATCCCCTCCCTCCCCCCCGACAGCATCCCTAAGCCGTTATATTCTATATGAATACACAAATACAAACATTACAAACAAGCAGTCAGTCAGTGTGTGTGTGCGGCGCTTATGATTATTGAATAAAAACAGTGGGAAAGGTATATCATTGGACGGGACGGTCTATGATATCACACGTATACACACACACACACACACACTGTAATAGTATACGAGAGAGTTGTATAGACAATACACACACACATATATATACATACATACATACATACATACACACACATACATACACACACATACATACACACACATACATACACACACATACATACACACACAYATACATACATACATACACACATACATACACACATACATACACACATACATACACACACATACATACTGTACTAACAGCTATTGCATAGACATTATTGGGTGAGTGTGTGTGTGAGAGAGTGGAAAAGCACTGGTAGTTTGCAGGCAGTCAATAGCAGCAGCAGTAGAGAAACGTTGGATAAATCTAACCAAACATTGCACATATACATAGACACACACACACACACACACAATGTTTTTATTATTATTATGTGATGTTATTGTTGTGTCAACGCTGTTGTGTCGCTAATACAGTATATATGATATATAAAGTATAGTATAGTTGACAGTCATTCAGTCATCAATACATTGTTTTGTATGAATATTAATAAATATTATTTTTAAGTGATTATTATGACTGTTATGTTTTTAGTTGTATCTCAAAACTAATTGCCTGAAAAAAACTAATTAATAAAAGTGTTAACTAATAATAATAATAATAATAATTAATTTCAATACAACTTTTTTTTTGTGTTTTATTTGTTTGCCCACCAAAAGGGACAGTCATTTACACGTTTATATTATATATGACATTACATATGACTACTACTACTACTACTAAACCCATTGACTATTATTAGTAGTACTGGTATTAATGGCAGACATGAGTAGCGCGCGTAACACTAGACGACTGTTTCCATTGAAGACCGTCGGCGATGTGTGCGAACTATTTCGGTCACAACTGAGACCCGATCGTCGGCCAAATTTGGCACAGTTGTCACTAGTGACCGGACTGATTGAAGCCGGACTAACCTGTAATCGTGACCCGATTGGCGGCGGCGGCGTCGGCGGCGACGACGATGACCTAATGGACAGTGACGGACGTATTAAGCATGCGGACGATCCGTACGGTGTTTCACCGATTGGTTTCGGCGGCGGCGGTTCTGGACACGTATCGGCGGCCAGTATACCCATACCGCATATTACGTGGCCAATGGTCGACGCGTTGCACCATAAGTTTGTTACACAAATTAAAGGTTAGTTATGATATGTTTTTTGCTATGACATACCATTCCCGCCCAAAAATTACCGTTTATTTTATGATATCCTATCTATTGATTGATCATATCATTTGATATATACCTAAATATATAAATGATTTCACTTTAAAAAAAAATTAATTATTTAAATATTTTAAAAGTTAAATAAATACATAACAAATATTTATTTAAAAAAAAAATTAATTTATATTTATTAATACATGTATTACTATTGTACCAAAAAAATAATAATAATAAATAACTATTAATAATATATGATTAAATTATAAGTGCATTTAAATTAATTACAAACACATATAATGTTCAATGAGTGTGTATTATATACGATATATCATAGTTATAGTTGTCATTGACATTGAATTCAATAATAATAATAATAATAAAAAATTATTATTATTTTGTTATTGTTGTCGTTATGTACCGTACAGTATGTGTGTATATATAAAGTATAATACTGTAAATCATATATTATATAGTATTTATACATATGTTGTGTGCGATATATTATACATATATAGTTTACTCTAAATACATATACAAACAATATATATATATATGATATATAATATATATGGGATATAGCGTGTTGTTATTATTATTGTTGTTATGTTATTAACTGTTATTAACGGTTTATGTGTGTTTCCCTCCCCTCCTCCCCCACATATACATACATATGTCTGGGGTTGTCTGGTTTATGTCTGTCCCACACAACAACAACAATAATCGTAATGATAACTAACAACCCGTATATATACTGTGTGTGTGTGTGTATCCACTGATTTGAGGTCAACCCACTTATTAATTAATTAATTATTATATATAAAAAATAATTTATATTTATTACAGTAAATCATTATCATTTGTACAGTCACTGTGTGTATACAATAATCAATGGCGAAAAAAATGTTATATAATTAGTTGTATAGTTGTATTATTATTACAGAATAATTACTAATTATTTAATTAGTAGTACTAATATTTTTTTGTTGCTGTCATTGATTGATACCATGTTTTTCAATTGATTTTTAAAAACATAATTTAATTAATAAAATATTTAGTATTAGTATTATTATAGTTTTATCGGATTTTAGATAATCTCATTGATGGATTAGTGATTAGTATTAGGGGTGGGGGAGGGGGTAATGTTAATCTCTCTCTCTCTCTATATATATATATAGTATATATTATTAATCAGCTTGCTAGTTTTTAAGCTAATCTATTGATAGTTATTATAAACCTATTTTATTTATATTTAATGGAAATTATTATTGATTTAGTTATAATTTAATATTACTTTTATATTAAATAATAATAATAATTAATAAATTTTTGTTACAAAAGCGATAAATATTACGGCAAAAAAGTTTTTTGTTGTTTTATTTAATTGTTGTTATTATTATTATATATTACAATACATTTACATCATTATATTATATAAATAATTAGTTATTTTCGTTTACTTAACAACTATTATGTGTTATTATTTTTTATAAAAAATATATAATAAACTATATTTTTCCAGTACTTTACAAATATATATATATATGTGTGTGAATTTGTTATGTAATTACTACTACTATTAATACTATTAATGATAAATTTATAAACACTACAAAACTAAAAAGTTCATATAATAATAATAATTATTATTTAAGTAATGTTTCTTTTAAATAGCTATCAAAACCATATGGTGTTTTTAATTTTATCTAAACTTATTATTATTATTAATTAAAAAAATAGAAATTTATTTCATGTTTAGAGTTTATTATATTATTATTATTATATATCATTTATAGTTATTATTTTTATTACAATTAAAAAAAATTTTTTTTAATATAAATAAATGATTATTATAAATCTGGTAATATATAGTATAAATATATATTTTGTAATTTAATTTATAGATACATATGTTCAAAATATACATTTACAACCATATAGTATATACAAACACAAACACACACACATACATACAAAACAAATCAAATTAATTACATCAATAGTAATTAAATATTTGTATAATACATTGGTAACAAATGCAGTATAATTTTATATATTGTAGAAACTTTTTAATTAAGATTGTATTTTTTGTTTTGTTGTTTATTTATTATTTAAAAAATTAATTTCAAAATCATTATTTATCAAATATTAGTAATAATACTAATAATTATATTAATTATTGGAAAAAATTTATTGATTTATTTATTTATGGATACCATTGGTTTTTAAAAATTGTAATATAATATTATACTGTATATATATATATTTATTTATAGTAACTATTATTATTATTATTTTTTTGTTGTTAAAAAATTGTCAATTTTATTACAATAACTTATTTTTGTCGGACGACTCTCTCTCTCTCTCTCTCTCTCTCTCTCTCTCTCTCTCTCTCTCTCTCTCTCTCTCTTTCTTTCAACTAACTATAATATATCTGAGAAATTATTGCACATTTTATTGCCAAAAATAGATGACATGAGAGAGAGAGACTATTACCCCCTTAAGAAAACAATACCCTTTACCCCCTCCTACTAAACCCCCTCTCCATGAGTTGATTACCCCTTTTTTCTAACTAATATATATATATAAGAAAACTAAAAATTCCGGTTGAATGTGTCATTGAATTTTAAAATCAATGGTATTTGTTGTTTGAAAAAAAAACAGTTTATTGCTTGTTTTGTTTTTCACTGGGGGGGAGGGGGTGATGGGTTAGGGGGAGTGGTTTAAAAATCAATGTTGTGTATCCGATGAAATTCTAGCTATACTGTAACTAGTAGTGGAAATTTCCAGAGTTTTTTTTTATATATATATTATAAATGGAAATTTCCAGAGCCACTGTACGCTAACTAAACTATATATAAGATAATTATTGATTTTTAACAACATTGTATATATATATTATATATACTGTATATTTGTTGTCAATATTTTTGTTATATATATTATTTAATTATCATATTTACTATATTATTAATTATTTGTTTTATATTAATTATATATGATATAATATCTTATTGATACAATATTGTTTTTTAGCTACATAAGTTTTTTTTAAAAAATTTTTTTTAGTAATACCTCCTGTACTCCCTGAGATCACTGAGCCTAGAGAGCTCCCTGAGCTAAATATAACTAACTGTCCCTGGTTTTCTCTATTTATTTAATTTTTATATATAATTTTTTTGCTTATAAAATAAAAAATTAAAGTTAATTTTTTAGTCATCAATTCTAGGAATAAATAATTATTCCATATGCTATAATGATAATGATAATAATAATTATTATTATTATTATAATAAATGTTTAGATAATATATATATATATATATATTTAAGTACATGTATATATATATATATATATATACTGTATTTATATTATTTTTATATATCTAATTATGTGGAAATCTATATAATGTAAACTATCATAAAATATTCATATGATAAGCAATATATAATAATACAGTAATAATAATAATAATAATAGTAATAGAGTATAAATGGTTAAATATCACATGTAATCATTATCAATAATATACAGTATTTATTATTATTATTATTAACAATGTTATTAGTTTTAAAAACAAAATATATATATATATATATATAATATCCAATAGTAATTTTATATTTATTTATTTTTTTAGTATAAAGATTAAATTAATGTAATTATAAATTTATTTTTTGATTAAACTTTTTTATTTTTTGTTTAATTAAACTACTAATACTCTATTGACTTAAAAGATTAAACTTTATTTTTATACCTATTCAGCTAATAATAATAATCATTATTATTATTATTTTTTATTAAGTAATATCAAAATAAGTATAACATTTGAAATAACATTAGAAAAATATAAATACTATCAGTAACAGATTATTAGCTTATATAAAAAAATATTGCATTTAATGTATAATTATATTATTTATTTATACAGTATATATATATATATATATATATATATATATATATATACTGTGTATTATTTTTACATTTCAATTGTATATTACTTTTAAATACTAAATTTTAGTAAATTAACATTTCCAACAGTTATAACTTATAACTATTGTACATATACTATATAAATAAAACGAAAAATTATTTTTCAGCACAATTCAAATATAAACAATAGTATTTATGTAAAGCTGTATTGATGTCGTCCTAGTATTAAATTGTATTATAAATTATATATATATATATTTATTTAAATTTTATTCTTAAATTTTTCTTTAGTTTTGCACATTTTAAAAATAAACATTAATAATAATAATAAGTACAGTACACATACATACATACATACATACACACACACACACACACACACACACACATGCATACATACATAAATAAATTCAAAAATTGGTGAACTATATACTTATATATTTATATGTATATAATTTAATATTTGTTATTTAAATTTGTAATCCACATATTTTTATTTTTTTTAAACTTTATTTTTTTATAGTATTATTATTATTATCTTGAAAATAGAAAATAAAAAATAATAATAAAATAAATATAAATACAATAATAATAATAACAAAATTATACTAATAATAAAACATGTTTATGTACTATATATACTGTATATATATATATATATATGATATAATATTTATATATATAATATATTGAATATAAACCGTTAAGTGTTTTTATATTTTACAGATGTCTGGGTTGGGCACAAATTATTTAGGCATTTATCTACACTATGTGTGTGTGTTTTTTAGGGGGGATAGGGTAGGGATAGGAAGTGAAGCCAATTATATAATATAATATTGAATATAATAACACTATGTATTAAAATAAATAAATATTGTACTAAATATCATAACAATCAGTATATTATTGTATTATTATTATTTGACACATATCCGGGTCTCTCTCTCTCTCTCATAGTTATAGTCATAACTTACTTATTGACTGTTTCCCTCTCCTCCTACCCCCTCACCCACCAGATCAAACAGTCCTACAAAAAAATC